TTGCCGTTATAACTGAAACGTTCCTTAAACCTGACCATAAGGTTAAGAGGAACGCAAATTATTTCATTTATAGAAATGATCGTCTTGATGGATCCTGTGGTGGCGTTGCCATCATTGTTCATAGACGAATCAAACATAAAATTCTTTGTTCATTTGAAACAAAAGTTTTTGAAACTTAAGAGTTTCTATTGAACAAAATTTGGACAACTTACGTTTATAGCTGCCTATTTTCCATTCCAATGCGTAGGCCAGCAAAATAATTTTCTCAAAGGCGACCTTCAGAAACTTACCCGTCAGAGGTCTAAATTCTTCATTATTGGTGATTTTAATTGCAAAAAACCGCTCATGGAATAATGCTCAAAGCAATTCCAATGGTAATATCACCGACGAACCGACGTGACAGCTCACACAAGCTACTTTCAAATTCGTGCCCTAGACGCCATATATAAAATACGTTAAACACTACCGACATCTACTCATTCGATTGCGTCATACCATGAGCAAGGACACGAACCCACGTATAATTTATATTACCTTGGTTTGCGTCTCACCTCATTTGACAGAACTGATAGCCCGTTTGAATGTTCGAATCGCTCGTTTGACAATTCGAATTGTTGGCAAACGAAATGCTCCTGTGGCATGTCGGTTCGTCGGTGGTAATATTCTGTTTGATGATTGTTCTGCAGGTTATTACACTATTCAATATCCAAATAGCCAAACATGCTTTTCTTCAGCAATAAATCCCTCAACTATTGATTTGGTCTTAACTGATTCATGTCAACTTTGTAGCCAATTGGTTACCCATGCTGACTTCAGTTCTGGATCACCTTCCAGTAACTTTTGAAATATCCCAAGAAATAATTTCTAAGCCCAACAGCTCTACTTTCAATTACCATAGAGCTGATTGGGAGCAATATCGAACAATTATGGAATATAACTTCGATCCAAACATTCCTTTGCAAACCAAAGATGAAATTAATTATGCTCTTGAATCTCTGACTACTTCTATAGTTGAAGCAAGAGCTGCCTCAGTACCAAAATGCGAGGTTAAATTCGATTCAATTATAATAGACGACGATCTTCAGCTCTTGATCCGTCTTAAAAATGTCCGTAAGAGACAATATCAAAGAACACGCGATCTTGCCATGAAAGTTATCTGGCGGGATTTGCGAAAACAAATTTAAAAACGACTCTCCGCCCTGAGGAACAAAACTTTTGAAAATAATATTTCTAAATTAGACCCGAGTTCCAAAACCTGGAAACTCACAGAAAATTTGAAAAACCTCAAAAGCATATTCCAGCGCTTAAAGAAGATGGTAAAATTTTGATCACAAATTTGGAAAAAGCTCAGAAACTTGCTAAGCAATTCGAGAGTTCCCAAAATTTCAGTTTGGGTCTTACTAGTCCCACAGACAAACAGACGTAACTCTTTGAAAAAGTTTTTCTTGAAAACATAGTATCTCAAAACATAGGACCTCAGTAGCGACATCTTTCAGGCTTCTCGCGGAAAACAAGCTTGCTCGCTAACTTGCAAGCAATATTGCATAAAAGTTCTATAGAATGTATAGAAACGTCAAAGTGATCCGATGCCAGCGCTGCGGCGAGTAGTTCGCGGAACTGATAATATTCAAATCAACCGTTAAATGCGTGAACGAAGATACACAATGAAGAGTTACGTCTGTTTGTCTGTGCTAGTCCTATTGAGAATCAGGTTACTCGGGATTATCTGAGTATTTTCTCTCGTGAAAATATTTTCGATAATTCCTGGGGGACTGATTTGGACGAAGTAAGACCTATATCCTCATAAAAAAACTCCCAGAGAGTACCTTGTCTTTCTTGGAAAAAATATTTAACAGATGTTTCCATTTGGCAAATGCAAAAGTTGTTCCTATTTTGAAGCCAGATAAAAATCCAGCTGAAGCTTCTAGCTACCGTCCAATCCAATAAGTTTACTTTCTTCAATAAGTAAACTTTTTGAAAAGATAATTTTGAATAGAATGATGCGTCAAATCAATACGAACTCAATTTTTGCAGTTTGGATTTCGCCATGGGCATTCAACTACTCATCAACTCTTAAGAGCCACCAATTTAATTCGTTCAAACAAATCTGAAGGCCACTCAACTGGAGTTGCTCTTCTAGACATAGAAAAAGCATTCGATAGTGTTTGGCATGAAGGTTTGATTGCTAAATTGAAAAGTTTAATTTTCCACTTTATATTATGACAGTGGCGTCCCGTAACCTCACTTTTTACCTGTGCACCAACTTTCAAAACCACTTTGACTATATGTTTAGTATTACCACAGACAAACAGACATAACACATTGAATATTTCTCACTGTAAAACATCGTCGCTAAAACATTACCGCCATCTGTTGAGTACACTGTGGTGGGTAGTACGCTGAACAGATGGCGGTAGTGTGTAAACGTCAAACGCAAGGGAATTGACTATGCGCGCCACAGGTGGGGGTACTACCAACTATGATACTTTAAAATTGACCGTTAAATGCATGTTCGATGAACAACTTGCGATTGTTATGTCTGTTTGTCTGTGGTATTACTTCTGCGTGAAGTCAACGATTTACATAGTTGAAGATGCTAATTTAGAATAACTGACTGAAGTGGTAATTTTTTTTTACGATAGATGAGGAGGAGATGAAAGTATAGAATTGATAGTTCCGTTTAGATTACGGCAGTGTGAAAATTGCATATAGAGAGTAGATAGCGAGCTAGGACAACTTTTAAGGAAGGTACAAATCGGTTTTATCATCTCTCTTTACCAAACTCCCCCTTTGGAGAGGGATGGTGAGGGGTGTCCCCCCTCTCCCCCGCCACCACTGGCAAAAAGAGATGATCGCCGACCGCTCAAGTACCAACGATGTGTTTGAAACAGTTCTACCGATTTTTACCGCACTCCAGTTGTTATTCGACAACAAAATAATTAATAATTTCAGTCAAAAATCGTTGCAATCCTCAATTGCAATGATTAATTCCCTTTCCCTTTATACTTAGATAAGATTTAGTGTTAGTTTTTAGTTTTAAAATGTAAATTGTTATACTGACATGCAGGTTTAAAAAAACCAGTTAAAAATACTGAATTGCCAAGACAGGAACAACGTAAAAACACTTAGATATATATCATAACAATTAAGGCTGGTAAGTTACTGTGGTTAAACCTAGGTTAAAATGAAATGTAATTAATTTTAAATTTGGAACAAATAAGGAGTTAAAAAAAGAGCTGTTGGAATTAGAAAGTGTTTCTTGGGATATTTAAAAAGTGACTGGAAGGTGATCAGAACCGAAGTCAACATAGGCTAACCAATTGGCTACAAAGTTGACACGAATCAGTTAGGACCAAACCAATAGTTGAGGGATCTCTTGCTGAAGAAAAGCAAGTTGTGCTGTTTAGTTATTGAATAGTGTAATAACCTGCAGAACAATCATCAAATATTATTTTACCATTGGAATTGCATCAAAATCGTGAATAATGGAGAATTTAAGCCTATGAAGGTTACCCTTGAGAACATTCGTTGGCTGGCCAACACATTGAAATAATAAATAGGCAGCTATAAAAGTATATTGTCAAAATTTTGTTTCGAAGGGAACTCCAGAAGTTTCATAACCTTTGGTTTTAACTTAAGAAAGAATTTGGTGTTTCATACGCCTATGAACCACCACCGGTTCTATCAAGGTGATCATTAACGGTAAACAAAGAAATGTCGATCTTTATACCTATTAAAAGGATTAAGGTTTTAGTTATAACAGCAATATGCACGTTATGAACTAGTAAATAGGTGAAGAGATCGTCCTCATTATCTTTCATAGCTCGAGCATTCCAATTTGAAATATTCAATGTCTTAAAATCCATTAGGTTGAATTTCAGGCATAATAATTTTATTTGAAAGTTTTACTCCACACGGCGAATGAGAACGACCCAAATTTGAGTTTAGTTCACTCATAATCGCCAAAAGTGCAGGAACGCAGCGATGAGTTAAATTTGTCTCATGGTTTCTTGTGGAAAATCTAGCAAATCTGCCGGAAAATGAGGAAATTGACGAAAATTTTATTCAGTCTCGGAGTATTACCAATAAACTGAGTGAATCCAATCTTTACTTTTCTCAAATTCGGGAATTTTTCCCTGGAAAACCTGGGAAAACATGAGGCAAATTAACTCATCGCTGAGTTCCTGCACTTTTGGCGATTATGAGTGAACTAAACTCAAATTTGGGTCGTTCTCATTCGCCGTGGCAGTTTGAATTACACGCTATCTAGTAACAATCATTGAGCTAAACAGACCAAGTACAACGATTGTATCATTTCGAAGGTAACGAAAAACATACATGTACACTTCGAAGGGCAGACTTACACAGATCTATTCAATAAAAAGGGAAATTGCGTATTAGTCATTCCTTTATTACAAGAGCTTATAAACACTTGTTAAATTATGGCAACTAAACAATGGTCCTTTCCGAGCACATCTCATCGATTTTGTGATCTTACCTGGCTATAGGTATTTACATTAAATCCCCACTTTCTTGAACTGTGCATGTGAGATGCCCAGTATTGCTACGGATAGCTCACAAGACGAAAAATGCAATAGAATGCGCCATACTGTAAACATAGATGCGCATCATTGGCGATTATTTTACAACTAGACTTCGTCAACATCCCTGCCCTATATAACTCAGCGTGCTTATTAATCATCGATCGCCCCCAAACAGGCAATAATCATTAACCACTGCATCGAAGTCAATACCACTGCATTGTGAAACAGAAAATAACATTCACGACGTCATTGCAAACTGCAAACAGAATTTGCATGTGAGGCAGGAAGGGGCGATGTTGCTCTGTCAGCAAAATCTCAACGCAGTGCTACCCCCTTGAAAATCTAGTAAGACCATCTTCCTCTCACCTCTAGACAAAGGAATACCAATTATAATCCGAACCAGGAGACTCTTTGTTCGCTGATCGTCCTCCCCCCAAGGGGGCCAGTAATGCTTACCTTTTTCCGGAGCTTTCCTCGGATGTGACATAGTCGCTTGACACCGTCGAAGCACATCGCCTCCAGTCTGCCATTGCCAAGCATTTTTGTGACCTGTGCGTATTCCTGTTCGTCTTCCTTGAAGATCAGCTCGCGCTTTTCCGATTCGTTTTCGTTCTTACCGCGGCGACGGTTCTTTCCTCCCTTGCCTTTATTCTTCGGCATTTTGGTTGCTGCTGCTGTTGGTGCTAATTTGAAGCGCTTCCCGTGGGTTTAACGACGGAATTTCCCGACGACAAAAGCGATCAATCGCAAACACACAAATGGCGAATGTACTTGCACACGCGAAAAAGAGAGCTGGAAAGCAGTTCGGGCTCGCGGATGACAGCTAGCCGTGCGCACGATGAACGGCGGCGGTAGATCGAAAAAAAATTGCTCTTCGACTGCGGGAAACTGTCAAAAGTGTGAGATTTCTGAAGAGCAACAAAACGGATGCGTTCAATATCTGACAAGGTCCTTATCATAGGTTGGGAATTCATGTCGATCTACGGAATTGCATTGGCTGCGTGCTGAAAATAGAGTATGTACCAGATTTTATAGAGTAAATCACCGGGAATATGTACAGTAGACAGTAGAAATACTCAGAGGGAGAGATGGGCGGAGGCGAGGGGGACGACTCTATCTACGATGCAGAAAAGATTTTGTTTTGCTGTGGCTAGCTGCGCGCACGCTGAGTAGATAGAAAGAAGATTGATGACGATTCTGAAGATTTCCTGCAAAAAGATGATGCGCGATGCAAGTAGATGCGACAAATGAAAGAAGATTTTTCGAAGATTGATTCGCTAGTGTGAGATTTGTTGAGCATCTAAACTTGAGATTTAGATGTGTCGCCCCCCTCGGGCGGAGAAAACAAAATACAATTCGGCAGCAGGGATTTGTATCTAAATTATCTTGCAACCCTTGCTAAAACTTAGCATTTCACATGACTTTTACTTTTGATTCGATTTACGTGTAAATTAATAATTGATTGCATCGCAATATTTTGCTCATTTTTTGGTGCCATTAATTGACCAACTAAGATCAATTAATCAATAGAGCTAGAATATTGATTTTGATTCCAAAAACTAGTTGAATTTGAGAAGCACACGAAACATAAAGGTGATTGAATTGCTGTTCGATTGCAATACTCTCAAATTCAATCTAGTAAGAATAAGAAATCCTCGGAAAAAAATCTAAACTCCTGGTGTGCCACAAGGTTCCCATCTTGGTCCACTACTATTCATCTTATTTGTCAATGATATAGAATACATTTTGAAGCTGCTTCATGTTTCAATATATGCAGACGACATGAAACTTTTTATGGAAATATCTAAAGCATCTGATATGCAGCTATTTCAGCAAGAAGTTGACATTTTTTACACTTGGTGTAAGAAGAATTGGTTAGAGATTAACGTTAGTAAATGTAATTCTATATCGTTTACAAGAAAGCATGCCATAGTAAATGACACAATTTCCCTTGGTGAGAAAACAGTTGAAAGGTATAATCAAGTAAGGGACTTAGGCATTATTCTCGACTCTAAGTTGTCATTTGTTGATCACTAAAATAACATTATATATAAAGCAAGTAACATGCTAGGATTTATCAAAAGATTTAGTCTGTACTTCAATGATCCTTACACTATTAAAACATTGTATGTGGCCTATGTGAGACCTCTTCTTGAATACTGTAGCGTAGTGTGGGCTCCATATCAGGATACATATATAAACCGCATTGAGTCTGTTCAAAAACAGTTTTTGTTGTTTGCCCTTCGAAAATTAGGTTGGACGAGATTACCACTTCCATCTTATGAACCGCGATGTTTGTTAATAAGTTTAGATGGACTGAAAAAACGAAGAGACTTTGCACAGCAAAAAAAAATGTAATATCGATCAACGTAATTCAAGCTGATGTATGAAATAATGATGTAATAGCAAAACGCAGATACAATATTACATCAATGGATGTAATTTTGTTCGCAAAATCGATGTACATCGTACAATGTGATATTACACAACCGATGGATTGACCTGGTTGCAGCAGTTTCGATGTAATATTCAACAACTTTTTTTGCTGTGTGCCATGGTAACATTTATAAACGATGTTATTGCTCAAAGAGTTAATGTTCCGGAAATTTTAGAAAATATAAATTTTTATGCTCCCACTCGCTCTCTGAGGATTAGGAATTTGTTTTACATTAACAATCAAAGAACAAACTATGCTAAAAATGGGCCTTTGAATAGAATTATGACCTGCTATAACGCATATTCCCAATCAATTGATGTAACAATGAATAAAATAACACTAAAAAAAGCATTCTTTTCAAGGTTAGCCAGGCAATAATATTTAAGACATAGTTAATAAGCATTCATTGTAATTGGTCTAAGATTGATTGACGACATAAATAAATAAATAAATAAATAAATAAATAAAAAAATCTAATGGGAATGTTCGTTTGGCTCAGGTTTTGACAGTTCATTTCGCTCAAAACATTCTCTCCGCTCATCTCTCCTTATAGTATTTCTAGTAGACAGGGTCCCTTTCTAATGTACGGTATCCTCCTAGGGGCAAGACAGCTTTCAATCATGAGTAATTTTTGAGCAAATCTTGAGCAACTCTGAGTTACTCGCGTTGCTCAATAATGAATCTCGTTGTCAATATACCATCACAGCAACTCAGTCAGCGAGACAAAAATGTGAAATATTTGTCACACATGTTTATTCGTAGAAAGTTCAAAACAATTTAGAAATCTGTTGATATCTTGTTGTAATTTCCTATTGTTCTGTCGTATCCGTTGATTACTTTGGTTAGCCATATTTAAGGAACAAGTCGCTAGATTTTTTCCACACATCGCAGTCTGTCTCTTCAGTAGTAGTGAAGCATCATTTCTAATTCCGTTTTGCAAATTGAAAGTATACTCCGAATGTGAATATTCTTTCAAATACGTTATGGAGAATACATATACCTACATTCGTTCAAAAAACAAATAAGTTGTTAAACCATATAAAAAATTATCATTTATTTCTTCATGAGGTACAATGTTTACGATAATGTCGACATGATGAACATATTCGAAAGACGAAAGGATGTGTTTATATGAGTTATAGGTTATTGTCAAAATTCATTTCAAATTCTGATGTTGTACTGGAACTGTTTCGATATGTGGTTATTTCATAGGGATGTGCAGGTGGCTCAATCGGTTTCAGGGCCGTAACTACATGTACATTGGAACCACAAACTTGAACAGGTTTCTCTCCTTATTTACATGTTTGTGTTGACGCTCACTTAAAACAGAATAGTTTTTGATGATCTGGGAAAAAGAAAACTTATCGACGGTATAAGTTATAACACTATGCTTCTCGTTACTACTGAATGTCTAAATAAAAGGATGACGTTGTTTGAACGTAGACAAACGTTTTCAGCATGCATCAGTATCTACACATAATAAAAATGTTTTTCCTAGAGGCTATTATGAAGAAACTTAACTTACTTGAAATTGAAAAAAATCTGTTCAGAATGGCTGGCGTTAGTGTGTTTGTAAATATAACAGTTTGGAAAAAGTAAAATTCAGGCTACTTCGTTATTTTTCGAGGAAATACGAGTAACTCACAGCTACTCAATGTAAATATATTAGCTCAGAGTACAGCCATAGAGGTAACTCTAAGACAAGTAGGTCCCGAAGAAACGTGCTCAACTTTTTGGCTCACCTCTGGTACTATCTTCGGTCCCAAGCTTGTCGAATCACCCCTCGAAACATAGGAAAAACCAATAACCCCTCATTTTATCTGTCAAACTTTCATAGCGAATCAAAACAAACATTGCGTAGTAGTAGAATATCGACTAGAATAGGGTACGTTAATCGTTTGCTTGGGACCAATAGGCTACTAAAGTGGTGAGCCAATTTAAAATCGTTAGTTTCGTATTGATTGTTGGTACAGCTGACTTGCCCCTAGCCTTTAATAGTAAAATGCGATAGTAAAATTGAAATTGAAATAATAATCTACCCGTTTCATACATTGTTTTCTATGAAAACGTGAAAAATGCTACATAGGACATTTTGCTCTTGTCAGGTGTACATTGGACATGTTATATAGGACGTTTTGTTATAATCACAGTTACATATGTTTTCAAAATTATTTGTTTGTTTTTAAGCATTATGAGTGCATAATTTAAGTTATACGAGTTAAACGAACAATATGAGTATTGGACAATGCATCAATTTTTTTAACGGTATATCGCAACACTGCCCACAGATTGTTTTGGTCGATCGTTGGTGGTCGCGTGAGCTGCTTTTTATTTGATAACAGTGTTTTTTTAGGGCTGTTCACTAGCTACGTAGACAGCTTTTCGGTATGCTTGTCCCCCCCCCCTCCCCCCTCCCCATGCGTAGACAATTGTCCATATAAGAGGAAGCATAGTCGCTCGAACACACCACATTCGAGACAATCTGCCGGATTGCAGATAAAATGATAGTAAGTATAGACACCATAACGCATTGAAAATAAATTATCTGAAGTAAAATCTTCCCCTTGTTTTTTTTTTTAGATCCAGAACAATTTTCGTATCCGTTAGATCCCTCGTTGGATCCCCAGTGGAAGCATTCCTATGCGCATCTGAAAGTGGCCAGTAATTCGGTGGAAATGGCCTGTTCGTCAAGCAATCCACATTTACATTGGAAAACAGATTTACATATAAACGGGCCTCTGGACTAGGAAATATCGCAAATCGCGTCGTTTTATAGCTGCAGCTGCCCGATCAAGCATTGGAGGATTTAGAAATTATTTAACATTGCATACTAAATGCACAGACAAACAGACATAACACATTGAATATTTCTCACTGTAAAACATCGTCGCTAAAACATTACCGCCATCTGTTGAATACACAGTGGTGGGTAGTACACTGAACAGATGGCGGTAGTGTGTAAACGTCAAACGCAAGGGAATTGACTATGCGCGCCACAGGTGGTGGTACTACCATAGAGGTAACTCTAAGACCACTGGGTCCCGAAGAAAATCATTATTATTTTTGGCTCACTCAGTACCAGAACAACGGTCCCAAGCAGTCCCAAGCTATTTCACACACCCCTGCATGTTCTGCATGAATCCACACACCCCTGATGTTATCTGTCAAACTTTCATAGCGAATCAAAACAAAAATAGTGTAGTAATAGAATTTCAACTAGAATAGGGTACGTTAATCGTTTGCTTGGGACCAATAGGCTACTAAAGTGGTGAGCCAATTTAAAATCGTTAGTTTCGTATTGATTGTTGGTACTACCACAAACGAAGTGACAGACGGAGCGGCTCGAAATTTGGTTTGACGCACTTACATTTGAAATT